CTCAGACTTGGTCGATTTTCAAATGAGGCAAATAACTCTTAACACAATCTGAATTCACATCAATTTAATTCAGTTTCTGGATCATATATATACAGCTGTTGACACACAATTAAAACCGTTCCCTTTTTTTTGTAGGTGGTTAATGAGTATAATGATAAAAATTTTTAGTATACCGAGGAATATATTTATATTGCTAAAAGTCTTGCATTGACCGTGTTACTCTATTTACTACTAAATTCACTTTGTTTTGTAGTTGTGAAGTTAAAGCTTTTTTTATTTTATTTTTTTTTCCAAATAGTAAATGCGTTGCGGTACAGAAGGTGAATTAAGTGCGACAGTAATTAGAAGCAGTTGTTTAAAGAATTAAAATTCCTTAAGGTGTTAAATTTTTTTAATAATATTATTGATTTCTTGTAAGGGCGTGTTTCAAAGTTGTGGTTTAAAATATATTAAAATGTATTATTCAAGTTAAAAAAAAGTTATTTAAAAAAATAATGAGGAAACGCTGCAGTTGTACACCTACCCTTCGCAGCTTCATTTTTGACTTTCATCGATCTGGGAAGATGTGCAAAGAAATTTCGAATAAGGTCGAATGCTCAAAAAAATTTGTTTTAAATGTTCTTAAGCATATAAAGAATTTTAAAACTATTTCCAACGTTGAAACGAAGAAAAAACCCGAAAAAATTCAACAGAAATATACCACAGAATTACTACTGTCTCCCGAGGAGACCCCAAACAAGAGTTCCACTGACATTCAAGACGAATACAATGTCCAGATATCCAAAAGAATAATTGTCCGGCGTTTGGTCGATTCTTGACTTCATGGCAGGGCAGCACGCAGGAACCCACTTCTGACTTAAATACGACGCGTAGACTTTGTCAACTCTTATTGGGCGACGACAACAAATCAACGGGGTGTGTTGATGTAACAAAAATCAATCGCTGAGCTCATAATGGTGGAAGGTATATTCGTCGTCCAATAATTCAAGAATTTAATCCTCGCTATGTTTCAATCGTAGTTGAGTATGGTGTGGGGATGTTTTATCTGGAATAGTGTTGATCCACTCCATAAAGTTAATAATCATCCTAAAAAAAATGTCATGTTGTCATGGGCCGAGGAAAATTTGTCTGTTATAAGGAAGATAAAATTCAAAGCATATGGTAAGTTGACACAAAAGTTTTTTAACAAAAATTATATAAATGTTTTGGAGTGGGAATCGTCCATCCCAGACTTAAACCCTGTATAAGGTGTGTTCTAAGGGACTTTAAAAAGAAAAACAGAAAAAATGGGTTTTTCGGCAAAACCAATTTATTTGATTCAAAATAGTATCCTTCTGCTTCAATGCAGCATTTTGCACGGTCCAAAAGCATGTCGAACGAATGGCCTCTACACACCGCTTTTCTTCCCTGGGAAAATGCATTTTTCCGAAAAGAAAAAAGTCTCACGGTACTATATCAGTTGAATACGGGGAGTGATTAGAGGTTAAAATATGATTTTTGGTCAAATAATCGTCTTTCGAATATTGGATTCTGAGCAATTTTTGGTCGTCAATTAATTTGTGCGGAACAAACAGTGCACAAACTTGCTATAAATCGATGTTTTGGAGATATTCAATTTCATTTCTCTGAATTTAAATGATGATTTCGGCTGATTTTTGATGAATGATGACGCAAAGTTTCATTGGAATTTCCGGTGATCACGGATTTTGATTGGCACACATGTTGATCGTCATTTATGTCCCCACCACCACTTTGAAAACGTTGAAACCACTCGTGCAATAATCGCCGTAAACTTGTTTTATCAATTGAAAGGTTTCGGTAAAGTTTTGGTAAAGTTTTAGTAAAGTTTTTTGTTTTTAAACGTAATAACTTTACATCCAAGCAATGAAATATGATATTCTCACTGGATAATCGATAATAAGACAGCAGATTCTAATCATCATCATCATCAGCCATCATTGGGCGCTATATTGAAAAGACCTGTTTACTTTACAGTCCCACTTGTATGAAGGTTGCCAAATATTCCTTTACACACTACAAATCTTTGCTATATGCCCAGCAACAAATCCACAGGGAGCAGAAGGCAAAAGCGAATTGCGCGAAATGACACACGCGCATACATACGTTCTGATAAAGTACATGTTGCGTTTAGGTGTGTGTTGCCAAGTAAATTAAAATGTACATGTATGTGTGTGTGTGTGTGGCTGTCGATTTATGCCAAGTTGAGAGCCACGCATGTACAAATTTGATGAATGATACGTGCAACAACAAAAACAGTAGCAATAAGCGTGACAACTACGCGACCACGAAGTGATTGAAGTAGGTGTGCCAGCGTCGAGGGAATTAGCGCTAACGGCTTGCAGCTTAAAGTCGCGGTATTGCAAGTGTTTATGTGTGTGAATGTATGTATGATATACATTAGGGTGGCCATTATTTTCCAAGTTGAATTTGTTTTTGCAAAGGCCAGCTGCAGTTTCTTTTGTATAAAGTTGACATCAAATATCTTGAGCATTCATAGAAGAGATTATTGCATCCTGTGTTGCTCATACGACTGGTGTATTGTACAAATAGATCAAATTTTATACATAACTTTACGTAGTTAAGTGGAGTGGCTGTCTAGTGACGCACTTAGAAGGTTGACTTAAATTAATAATAATATTAATAATATAATTTGATATGCAATTCAGCGCAGATAACTGTCTGTCAGTTTTTGAGATATCGAACAGAAGTTGTGCACACTTTTTTTTCTCACCAATTACAATTTGTCGGAACCGCCGATAACAGGCTACTACAGCATACAGCTATCATACAAATTGAGCGATCAACCTCAAGTTCTTGTAAAGAAAACTTTTTTATTTGAAAAGGTATCTTTAGCACAGATCTTTATCTAAGACATCGCTATAACCTCTTAGGAGGGAGTTGAGATCGTATTACTGTAGCATATAGCTGACATACAAACCGATGAAAATCAAGATGCGCCTGTGAAGGATTAAAGCTTTTTTGCAGTCAAATTTAAAGGATTTTCTGGTTTATTTTAAATTAGCCATTATAGAAGTGACGTATATTTCCCTTATAAATTCCTTTCAAGTAGCTTTAAACACCCCAATCAACCGCCTTAAGGCAGATAAATTGTTCTTTTGTTTTTGTTATCTCCTTTTGTTTTGTTTTTAATTATTTCTCGGCTTGTATTCGTTCCTACTTGTAGCACAATTTCATTGCAATTAATTTAAATTTGCAATGCCAACCTCAAACACACGCACACCTAAACCTTGCACCTGCATTCACAATATGTCTGTACGCGTGTGAGTGTGTGTCTGTGCGCATAAATAAACAGCTTGAAATGTAGAGAGCAATCAATGCCTTTGTCGCATTTAAAATCACAGAATCACAGACCGTTGGCATAATTGCAATTAGTTGAACGCGTAATTGTTATTAATTGCAAAGTTTTCAAGGTCTCGGCCAGGCACGCAAATGCAATAAAACGCCTGCTCACCACAAACGAATAGAGAAGATGTTGTTCAACAAAAGTGAATTATGTAAGTAGTCTGACATTTTTTTTTTGCAGCAAAGAAACAAATGCATTTGCAACACTTTTTGAGATATTAAAACAATTATTTTTCATATCAAATCAATTGCAGGTAGCGCTGCGTTCAGGTGTTTGTCTGTGAGTGGGTGTACGGAAAATCTGATTATCAAGAATTATTAGAATATAAACTAATTATTTGAAGTGCTTTCATTAAAATTTACTTTTGAATGTAAGGAATCAGAACAAGCTCAATGCTGTTTTGAAAAAGTTCCTCATACGCCGTATACACTTGCAAATTTTTATACTCAAACTAGTACGTTAGTTCTTGAGATATCGATCTGAAATTTTGCATACATCCTTTTCTCTCCAGAAGACTGCTTATTCATTGAAACTGTATATTTTGGACTACTACATCATATAGCTGCCATACAAACTGAATGATCAAAATCCTCTCCTTCTATAGAAAACTCTTTTATTTGATAAGATATCATCAAGAAACTTAGCAAGGATTATTATCTCAGGCAATAATGTAATATCGGTAGAAATTACTCAGATCGGATCAGTATAGCATATAGCTGTCATACAAACTTAACAGTCAATATAAGATTTTTGCATTGAAATTGCTCTATTTGCGAAGGTTATTCTTGTTTAGTTAGCAGCTCAAAGTTAATATTCTTGTTTTTATGAATTCTAGCACTTTTCCTGGAAAAAATTTAATGGCAATATTGCGGCCAGTAGATCTGCTAAATACTTAACCATTAAGACTCATATTCAGGCGAAAGGGCCGAAATGTTTATTTTGTAGCGATTTTGGGGTTAAAATGTTCTAAAATGTATTTCTCATCAAATTTTGCGGTATAACATATACTTGACTGGGGTAAAAGCTAACACTCTTTGACGCGAAAATCTCTCAAATGCACCAAATATCTTTTTAGTATACTCGGCAGCTAATTTTAGATTCTCGGCAATTTAGTAGCTGGTTTTTATACCAATTTGGAAATGTGCCATGACAATAATCGATTAACTGTTTCAAATTCATTTTCAGGTTCATCAATGGGTACTTATACGTCATGTATGCGTTACATATTTGCATCGTAGGTATTTTTTTAGCGTCTTTATTTTTGCTTTCATATAACGAATTACAATAATATATCCAATAACAATAGGCCTGAAGCAGTTTTGACATCGATATACACTAGTACTAAAGGTCACTCATACGCCATGTTGTCATTGAATTTACCGACCTTTTTAAACAATGCTTCTGCGAAAAGGCCCTCTGAGAGAGCAAGTAAACTAAAATATTCTAAAGAATTATTTATCTTAAAATTTCACTGTATTCATACGACCTGAGTTATTATTTAAGTAAAAATTACTTGATATATTTTGCACGCTTATCGTTTTTTTTAATATTACTATAAAACTTCTCGTTAGTGTGTGCAAACTATATCAAAATTATTCTCTTCTTATATTGGCAGGTTGACATTTTAGACACTTCCGGTGATATGCAATTTCCCGCTATGCGCCGCCTCTCCATTGCCACCGCCCACGCTTTTATGCTGGTCTATGCGTCTACGTCTGCGTCGAGTTTTCAATGTGTCAAACAGTGTTTTGAGGAGATACGTGAGCAGCGCGCCGACTATCAGGTGAGTTTAATGGTTTGTGAATTGCTTTCAAAAACAATTACAGAACGGGGGTTGAGGGGTATATAAATTATATTTATCATCTTTTAAGATATTTGACTATGTGGTTGATGGTTATTCAATGTAAATTAAGTGTGGTTAAACACGTTTTTTACTTACATGTAATTTATTTCTGCCATTTCTAATTAAATTGAAGTTTTGTTTGAACTGAGTATCTAAATCTGAGCGGTTTTTAAGGAAAGCTATTAGCTATTAGCATCTCATTTATCGATAGAAGAACCGTGAGGGTCTGAATTTTGTCTTCAACTTCTTGAATTTTTCACTTGAAAGTTCCGTAGTTCTTTTTTATATAACTCACATGAAGCAACCTCGATAGAAACTCCTGAATTAATGCTCCACTTGAGGAAAAAATAAACATCTCATTAGACTTGAAAATCAAAGGCGATGCCCTCCTAGCATCAATCCATCCGTGGAGAGTCTTTGTATTACTTCTCCAACGACTCCTATGTTTTCAGGAACGCTGTTGCAGGAGCAGAGTTTCGGCTCCTGCTTCTCGGAGCCTTAGAGCGCACTGCAATGCATCTGCCACCAGTATCCACGAGTCCAGTGTATAAAGTGGCATTAAGCTATATTTTTGGTATATATTTTTAGCAAATGTGTCCTTTGTGACCGCCCTCCGCCAGGCAAACACCACACTTTCGTTGTGGAAAAGTCATGAAATTTTCATTCATTTATTTCTACTTACAATTGCACCTTTTTACACATACATACACTCACACCTAGAAGTGTGTCAATAGGTGTTCTTATGTTTTGTTGTTGTTTCTATACATTTTATTGTTGTTCTTGACAGCCAATATGACATTCGATGATAAGCGAAACATTCTGTTAACTACAATGGAAACTAATGTGACATAAGCAGAGCAGAAAATACAATGCTGAATGAATAAAACAAAACAAATAAGCAAAAGAATAAAGAAAAATCAAGCAAAATGTTCCTAGGTTGGAAAATGTCACTTATCAGTGGGAATTGTATTATAGACTGTTTAGAGTGACAACTGACAGTTGCCAGTTGACGGTTAGATAAACAATTAATCTTAGAAATTGTTCAAGTATAATTGATTAGACTTTAATAGCAAAATGATTTGAATCAAATCTGGGAGGCATAGATCTCCATATAAGTACTTAATATAAAGATTTTAGAATCTCTAGGTGACTTTCGACCATTTATTGCGGATAATGTGTGAAAATGAAAAGTCAATTTGTACTTGGTGGTTGATTCGTTGTTGAAATGGCTTAGAAGCTTCTTAACGTCAGAAGTAGACCCAAAGTTCCGCAATTGCCCGACAGAGGTCGATCGCATTTAAATAAAAACTTTGATTTACATTCCTAATATACTATACATATTAAATTGAGATTGGCCTCGTTAAAGGTGCATCGGTTTACGGGTTTTAAAATACTGACATTTTTTATTGCCCTATTCAATTCTAAAGTACCTTTACCTCTAGATCCGGAGAGTAGTTTCGGAGATACAGCCTAGAGAACTTGTGCGCTCGAAGTTAGCTAGACTTGACGCGGTCTTTTTCTCGAAACTATGTTTTTGAAATCGGTTGACAAGATTTCTTAAGAACTGAAGATTCACAACAGGAGAGAAAACTGTATTATCAGATACGGGAGCAACAGTTCGGGAAGGAGTTCGGCGATCTGCAAGCGTACGGCAACCGATTGAAACAAAAAGTACCAAATTTAAATAAGCGGCATACTTCTCGTCGGATGAACGCGTTGAAGGCATGGGACGACAGCGAGGAACGGAAAGCAATAAAAGATTTATTTATGAAAACATATTTTATATATATAGAATATAGTAGAAATATAAAGAATTGGACCGACTAGATCTCGAATGCGAAAAAAAGGCAGCGGAAGAAAATTTTAATTATCAAGTGTCGACAAGCAAAGGTGCATATTCTGGACAAATGGCGAAACCATGCAAACGCAATAATGAATTCACGACAAATGAACAGACTCGTGCTGAACAAATACCGCACCCACCAGATGACGAAGTTATCGTCCGTGGTATTCCCAATCCAGCACTAGAGGAAAGAGTGTTTAGAAATATGAGAGATGCTGCTCGATGGCCACGTGCTCAAACGGATGCAAATCGAAAAGGGGTTTCACAATTAATGAAGTTACCAGAAGGAAATACAAACAAAACAACAAACTTCTGACTTCAAACTCGACCACCAAGGTTTAACTTTTTCTCATCGGAGAAAATCACCTAAACCTAATAGTAAAGTTTTATGTAAGGAATATAGTGTAGAAGTTAGGGTGTAGGAATATAGTGTAGTAGACCGTTCCTGGATGAGTTGGCTCTTCGAAAACTGAAATATGGGTTTTTGTTAATTCAAACATTTTAAGCGTTGTTAACTATTCAATGGCAATGACTAGCAGATACTGATAGTTGTTCGTCGGGATGCTCCCGTTTTTATAGTCGTATCACCGAGGATATTACTTTTATTTTTCACCTRCCTGCTGGGTGCAGATAGAAAGGCGTACAAATAGTTTAAAATCTTTAAGGCGTATTTTTGCCAGGCAGTTTTTACACAAATCCTCACACATTTCGTATATAATTAAATYTTAAGAATATTAGTGCTTCATAACTGAAGGTTAACGTCTAAGTATCTTAGTGATAGTTCATAAATGAAGAGCTTTGAATTACTCGTAATCGGACAACACCCTCTGTATTTTTGTTTTTTTATAACAGTTTCTTTATTTTGAGACATATTATGGGTATTTATGTATATTTATTTATTGAGATACTTTAACTGTTTTCGTTAGTATGCTTAATATAAGAGAAATCTTTTAGAAAAGGGTTTGATTTTTGAGCGGCTTTGSCGTSGTTATTTTTGTTTTCGGCTCGTTTTTTCCTCCATTCCGATGATTGTTGACTTGTTTGCATGCCAAACTCATAAACCAATGTCYCACCAGCAGCTTTAATGCTCTCCAATAATGTAGAATCCAACTGTWTTGTCATCTTTTTAACACCTTACCTTACCTGATGTTTTTCATGCATTTTTTTTTTATTATTTTCATCAGTTGAAGATGTCGAACGTCGTCCAGTACGGGACATGTCTTCAACGATCTCCATCTGCGAAGGCTTTAAACCACTTGTTGGCTTGAGTTTCTAATAAAAATGAAACACTGTAAGCATTTTCTTACATTCGCAATTATTACGCAAATGATATTTGGTTAAAAATACAAAATTTGAGATGAAATCTTTCTTAGTTATTGTTTTCTATTGTAAAAATCGCAATGTATACCACAAAAACTGAACTGGTAGTTCAAAAATCTATATATTAGGTATACGGGGACTAAAAGAAGTATTAATCGGATTCAAGCCATTTTGGATATATACACATAATGTTATCAGGAAAGAATTATCCCTGTGTTTCAAGTACATATCGTACACATTGAACGATACTTTTGGTAAAAAGTCAACTATATTTACTGGGGTACACATGTTCGGTAGCTTGGAACTTGAAAAATTTTGGTTAGATTTAGACAGTTTTTGGTCATCAGCTGGCACATTTCAGAGACACTGTTCGTGCAAAGTTTTCTCTCGTTATATTAATTGCTTCTTAATTTGTACACATACTGGAAAGTTAACGAAACAAATGATATTTAAGATTGTATAATATAGAAAGAAGGTTGTAGTGCGGTTTCGCCCATTTTGGCAATGTAATATAAGAAAGTTAGGACTTTTAGCTTTTAACCAAATCATTTTATATAGAGTAGATGTGGTTATCATCCGAATTCACCTATTTTCACGCTGTCTTAAGAAAGATTAAAATAACTGTGCAAGTTTGGGTGATATGGCTTGAATGTTTGGGAGTTATATACATCAAACTTATTAGAAGGCGGGGTCGCGGCCAAATTTTAATGAATTATGATTTTAAAACCACGATATATTTCTCTCCAAATTCCAAAACAGACTGGTAGATTTTTATTTAATGCTATTTCACTTACAAACTAGACTAATGTCCAGGCATTCTCAGAACTCACATACATCACTACAAACGTATAAATTAACTTAACTCTTTTACCTTTCTCTTTCTTTTCGTGTCATAAATTGCGGCTGCCAAAGGATATACCCATTGTTATCGCTGGCAATAAATCTGATTTGGCCAATACACACCGAGAGGTGCGACTGGAAGAAGTCACGGACTGGGTCTACTGTGAATTGCCGCGACTAAGGTGAGTTCGGTCAAATTTAAATTTATTTATATCCATCCCATCTGTGTGTCTGCTTCTATGTGTGCTTGCGTGTGTGTAACGCAGATGTATTAAATATTTTCAACCATCATAACGGCATATTTTTGCGATTTAAGTGTCTGTAAACACAAAATATTTTTTTGGTACATCTCTCATTGTTGTTGTTTGCGCTATGGCGTCGTCTCGGTTTGATTTATGTGGTAAACTCGAAACGACTCCTACCTCCTGCGGTCGGTAGCACATTCGATTATCATGTACGAAATTGTGTTCTGAATAAACATGTACATCAAAATGAAAAAATATTCGTTTATTCGAACTTAACGGTTGTGGGTGTGCGAGCGTGTACCGATTTTCAATTGACTGCGCTACAGCTATGCAAATTGGCTGAATAAATATATTGTAGCCAATACTAGATAATATGCTTGATTAAGCATAAGAACGTAAACGAAATAAATTCTGCAGTGTGTGCGTAATGCATATACAGGGTGGTTCATATGGTAATTTAAGTATTTATTAAAAAACGAGTTTGTAACCGGCTTCGTAACATTACGAGTACAATATTTTTATTTACTTTTATACATTTTACACATAGTTCTGAAGATTTTTTCTTACCAAAAATGCCTTAGATGGGGTTCAGGGTTCTTTGATTCTAAGTTTGCATTAAAAATTAATTTTTTTTTTTTTTTTTTTACTTTGAAATTAAAATATGTATTTAAATTCTCAACTTTGCCAAAGTTCAGATATATGGAACAAACTTCCGCTTCAAACCCCAACAAAAAGTATAATATGAAACTATCTACAAGTGTATTATGATATATAACTAGTAAAGAGACCTAAGTTCGGGTTTGGCAGAACATTCTCTAAGACCAAAAGAGACTAGGGTGATGATGATGAACTAGGACGAGCATCAACATCAACGCGTCGATTAAATAAAGAATTGGTGCTTGATAAGCGACGATTAATAATCAGAGATCTTACTGGCATCATTGGAATATTAAAAGGATCACTGCAAATCGCTTTGATCCCAAAATCACTCACTTGAAAACAGCCGAAAACAACACGACAAAGCAGGTCAAAAATCAAGGTTATATTGACTATTTTTTCGATTATCGAGGCGCTGTGCACTCCGAATTCCTGCCAACCGGCCAAAATGTCAACAAGGGATACTAATTGAGTATTATACGTCGTTCCTGTCTTCTTGACCACGTTAATACAGTGAGAAGTGTCAGACTTTGAAAGATAAATAAAGAATTTCAAAATTATGAACAAAGACTAGGGTAATTATTGCCTTTATTTTAACTACTGTTATTAGAGCGAAATTTTCTCTTCATATCTATAGGATAACGTACATATTGGATTCACGTAAAAATATGCTCTTTGACTTTTATAGATTTAAATATCAATGAACATCCAAAAAGTTATATCCTTGAGGTCATTTTCATGTGTGAAATAGTTAAGCAGCAATCTCAATGCTTCGAAGTTGACAGGGAAACTTATTTACAATTTATGGGTTGAATTTAATCACTGTGTGGTTAACCTGAAGTACTGGGAGTAACTATGGACCCCAAATTTAATTTTAATCTTCATGCATCTTTAAAGGTTTTTAAAGCTAAAAGCGCTCTTAGTTTTGTTAAACGTTGGTCTAAAGAATTTAGAGATCCGCTTGTTACAAAAATGCTTTTAACATCTTTGAGACCTATACTGGAGAATGCTTTTATGATATGGATATCATTTTTATGACGAGAAGTTGGAGTTCGTTCAAAATTGTTTTTACTTTTTTCCTTAAGCCGCTCACTAGGCGTAGGAGAATGCTTGGTATAATATTTCTTGTAAAACTTATGAGTAGATTAGTCTGTAGTCCATTGCAGTTGTCTGATATTAATTTTAACATTGTTCTTAATTTTGGTTGTTGATATGTTTGTTTACGTAGCTGAGCAGCTTAAGCTCGCAACGCTTAAAAATTCTCTTAGCTCTTAGGACTCGGCTAATCGGATAATCGTTGGGTATTGGGGCTGATTGATAGCCCTAAAGTGGGGCATCGCTTGATATAGAGACTGCGTGATAGAGTAGTTTGAGGGAGGTTAGCGCATCTACACAGAATTGTGTGATGTAGAAGGGAGAACACGCCATTAAAGAAGCAAAAGCAGAGAGAATAAATAAAATCATACGCGAGCTCTAAAAATATAATAAATCTAGAATATATCCGCATCTTAAATATATGCGACAGTACTCTAATTTAACTATTTATAGATAAATTGTGTTTCAAGTCAATTGTATGTAAATTTAATTATTACAATGTGACCAATCTAATCAAAGGGGGAAAAGAACTGTTAATCGAGGCGTGTATATGTGTGTTTATGAAGGTAAAACGAAAGTGTGTGAGCTGACATCTGTTGATATGAGCCGCAGTTAATCGGATTTCCGCGCGCACACATTTCTCGGTTGTTGGGTAATTGCTTCGCCGCCAGCAACGGTTGCAGCTGCGATTGTGGACTCGGTGCAATCAGTGCAAAGCATTCGCCAAACAAGTAATGCAATGCGGTTGCCACTAAGCGACACCCCTTTCTCTCCATTCTTCGCCGCTCTGCTCTTTCCTCTGTGCGTGCATGACTGCTTTCCAAATGCCAGCGAGCACGCAACAAATCAGCAGACCAAGTTAACAGCAGAAAGAAAAAAAAATTATAATAATAAAAACAAAACAGTCGAGCTCCAACTGTGACTGTTTAAATGTGGCATCAACAATGCGGTGGCGATGGCAAATAAAATTAAAATGCAAAGAAAGTGGCCGTTAAGAAATGGAACTGTGAGGAAGTTGCGCACGTATACATTCATATACACATACCTACATACACAAGTTAAAGCGAGAAATGCGCGGTTGATGAAATCAGCAGAGCAAACAACCGCAAAGGAGATTAGAACCAGTTGTTCCTGTTGCAGTATTTGCAGCGCCATAGTTGGTTTGTAATGGGCGAAATGCACGCCAAAGAGGAATTTATAAGATCAACAGGGAACCTTGTTTGAGCCACTCTCGTCGATAGCGCTGCATTTAAAGGCCTTGTCAAAAAAGGCCTTGCGGTATTTTTATTGAATTTTCAATTGTTCATAAATTTTTTTTTTTTTTGTTGACTCATGCCCAGCTCTTGACCGCTGCTACGGCTGCTACTATGCTGGTCTCTTTCGACCAATTCAGCGATTTTATCGCAATTTTCGACGA